AGCTTTGTTGATGTTGACAGATCCATCTTTTCCTATACTGTTGTAGTGGCCTTCTTTGCAAGTTGTTTGGTGTACAAGTTTGCAGAGGCCTGGGACGATGTTGCTGCCTTTGCCTCAGGCTCAGCGGAACAGTTAAAGCTGGGAGGAGAGGGGGGCAGAGGAACCTGCTGAGCCTGCCTAGCTTGCCAAAGTTGTTGTGGGCCGTGCAGGCCCAACCACTTCAGAACTATTTGAAAAATGTAACTGGAGGCTCCCCATGGGTTCCCGGAGCCTCCTTGCCTACAGAAATATCTGCTCTCTTTTTCTTCCTCCCTTCTCGTTCCCACTTCCCTTATTATTGACATATGTGGCCTAGATTATGCCTACCACCAAATAAAGTGGCAGGACCAATTTCAGCTTTTCAGACGGCAGGTTTTCAATTCCTTGCTCATATAAAAATCTCCCTGCAAGTACGTGTGACATCACAGACTGTCAACCAATCAGAATGATGCCCGGGCTTCTATTTCAAAGTCCCACAACTATTCCACACACACCCTACCCTGGAAAAGGAGAGGATACATTTGGGTTTGATGCTTCAAGGGCACTCCCAAAGAAGTTTCCCTGCTTTTAAAAATGTTGGGTGACCTTAAGTCAGTGGTTCTCAAAGGTTGTGGCGCACCGCACTGGTGTGGCAGGAAAGGAGGATAGAAGAAGAAGAGTTTGGATTTGATATCCCGCCTTTCACTCCCTTTAAGGAGTCTCAAAGCGGCTAACATTCTCCTTTCCCTTCCTCCCCCACAACAAACACTCTGTGAGGTGAGTGGGGCTGAGAGACTTCAAAGAAGTGTGACTGGCCCAAGGTCACCCAGCAGCTGCATGTGGAGGAGCGGAGACGCGAACCCGGTTCCCCAGATTGCGAGACTACCGCTCTTAACCACTACACCACACTGGATAGCAAATGTGGCAGGAAGATTCAAGGACATTTTTTTACAAAAAATTTTAAACATTTCAGTGTAGTATAGTATAGCATCAATATATGTTGTTGTTCAGTCGTTTAGTCGTGTCTGACTCTTTGTGACCTTATGGACCAGAGCGCGCCAGGCACTCCTGTCTTCCACTGCCTCCCACTGTTTGGTCAAACTCATGCTGGTAGCTTTGAGAACACTGTCCAACCATCTCGTCCTCTGTCGTCCCCTTCTTGTGCCCTCAATCTTTCCCAACATCAGGGTCTTTTCCAGGGAGTCTTCTCTTCTCATGAGGTGGCCAAAGTATTGGAGCCTCAGCTTCAGGATCTGTCCTTCCAGGGAGCACTCAGGGCTGATTTCCTTAAGAATGGAGAGGTTTGATCTTCTTGCAGTCCATGGGACTCTCAAGAGTCTCCTCCAGCACCAGAATTCAAAAGCATCCATTCTTTGGCAGTCAGCCTTCTTTTTTTGGACACCAAAAACTGTATCCACGAGGGCATAGAGATACAAGGTCACCAGAGGTATAAATGACTATCAGACTGTGAAAAGCTGGTATCACCAGATCAATTTCATCAATTCTGTTGAATTAAATAATTTCAACTGAATTTTGAATAAAGCTGCATTTCATTGTAACTTTTTTGAATTTCGCTGTGTTGTATTCCTTAGCAGGTCATGCAGACTGCTGTTCTGAATAACGCTTTTTAAAAGGCGAGGGGGCACTGGGGATGTTTATGGACCCAAAGGGGCCAAAAAAGTTTCAGAATCAGTGTTGTAATGTGACAGATAAATAGATCTCTTCATCGCCTTTTAATGCAACCATTATCCTTACTTCAAAATTTGGCACTAGCCTGGACACACACACACACACACACACACACACACACACACACACACACCTGCCTATGCACTCATACAATATTACTTGATAGATTAAGAAATAACTTGTTCATCTTTTGAAACAACAACCCCACTTTATATTTTCTGATATTTTGCAACTTTAGCTTACTACCTTCACGCCATGTCAAACCATAATGTCGCTCTCTGTTGATGCAGGAATGATCACAGCAGGTTTTGGCAAAGCTGGAACTGAGGACATCCCTTTCACCCATAACTTTGAAAGAATACCGAATTACGCTTAGCATGAAAGGAGCTGTATAAAATGAAAACATATCATTATCGTTATGTCATTACTATCATTATGGAGACTATCAAATGCACTTTGGGGAATATAATTAGCGTGGTATGTTATGGAGGACTGCCGCCAGCAATGATTTTGCTGCAGTTACGCTAGTGCTTCAGATATAAACCTCTCTTTCAAGAGCTAATAATACTCAGTAAGCAAAGTTATTAGCTTGGGGCGGGGAGGAAACGGGTGGAAAGATTCTCAGCATCATTAACATGGCCTGAGAGCGAGGCGGTGGGGGTGGCGCAGAGTCCCCCTGACAAATTACTTGGCCCATGCTTCAGGGCTGAATGAAGCATTCTGGGGCAAATGCAGAGCTGGAAACCCAACGTCACTCACTGCTTCTCATTTGAAAAGGCTGTGGAGGGGAAGGGGAATAAATTCACAGAGCTTGCTGTTGTTGTTGTTGTTGTTGTTTAGTTGTGTCCGACTCTTTGTGACCCCATGGACCAGAGCACGCCAGCCATTCCTGTCTTCCACTGCCTCCCACAGTTTGGTCAAACTCATGCTGGTAGCTTCGAGAACACTGTCCAACCATCTCGTCCTCTGTCGTCCCCTTCTCCTTGTACCCTCCATGGTGGTTGTTGTTGTTTTACCTGTTTTTAAAGAAAAATCACCAAAAACCAACATTTCTAATATGCCATATGCCGGGATTTTCCCAGATGTTTTCCCCATTTTTTGAAAATTCCGCCCTGACGCCATTTTCAACGGACGGATCCCGTCTATGTCCGGGAAATTCCATACGTACGGCAGCCCTGGCAAGACTAAAACTCTTGCAAGTGGTCATTCATGGTAATGACTCATTTATCTCGCTGGGAGAGCCTGTTAGGGCTATGAGTTTTGTTGTTAAGATTGTGCACACAGTTGCTGACACAGACATCACCTTAGAAGGATTCCTTTCTGAGAGAGAATGCTTCTTTTAAGGTAGTGATTTCTAACAATAGTACTTGTAAGCATTACATTATAAATATTACCATGTCTCGCCCTCTCCCTTGAGAAGAGGCAACGACAATCCTGCTGCCCAATTAAATGTCTGCCTTTATATTTATATATTTACCAAAATGATTTTTGCATCACCTGACCTTGGCAGTTAGGTCAAAGTTGTTCACATCACAATAATATCCAGCAAAATCCAATAAGGATTGGTAAAGTAACATCGCAGGAGCTAAGCCGCTACTAATAGTCAGGGGTTGTCTAATTTCAGCCAATTAACAGTTTCTGAATTGATTAAACTAATCGTAAGTATTCCATTATCTTCAGCATTTTGCCCTTTACTTGGTGATGTAGTGGATTAATAATTTCAGGTAGGGCTGACGCCTGTGGAAAGAAGGCCCATCTCTTTGGCAAATTAACATTTCGTGCAATGCTTTGAAGCTGCGAAGGACTATATTTGTGTTATATATAGAAACGATGCCAATTACGAACATGAAAAGAAGACTCAAAACCGTAGGAAGTAGAAGCCAAACTTTCTTCTCCTTGTTTGATGTGTTACCAAAAGAATCCTCAGGGTTGTACCAGCAAGAAGGCACTAAAAAAACCCCCATTTTATTAGCATGTAGCCTGAAGACACGGATAGGTGGAGTCAGGGAATAGTGAAATCAGCATATATCACTGAGGGAAAGACATGGCTTTTCATCTCTATACTATCCTGCACAACAGATATTCATGCATCCAGTAACTGAGAATCAACTAGATTGGTAAAGAAAAAGTGATTTATATGTGCTGCATATGCAATATAACATTGTGCCACCAGACGGTGCTGTGGAGCCCCATTTTTCTCTACCCATTTTCCCTGTTCAAATTTACAACACATTTAACTGAAACGCTTCTTTGATGTGTCTAGATCTAGCCTAGGCATTGCTGAGAGCCTCCTTAGGAAACCAGAAGCTTTGTAGCTTGCAGGTGCCCCTGCATCAGTTTCCAAAGGAAACTACAGTCATACCTTGGGTTACAGACGCTTCAGGTTGCGCGTTTTCGGGTTACGGATGCGCCGAAACCCGGAAGTACCAGAACGGGTTACTTCCAGGTTTTGGTGCTCGCGCATGAGCAGAAGTGCCGAATCCCAACCCGTGCGTGCGCAGACGCGGCTCTGTGGGTTGCAAATGCTGCAGGTTGTGAACGTGCCTCCCACCACGGATCATGTTCGCAACCTGAGCATCCACTGTAGTGCCATGCACCTAGTACTGCCAGCAAAAAATTGCTTGGCGGATGAACGGACGACAGAGCAGGCATCAACAGTGGGCCCTGCCAAGGTGCCCTGGTCACAACCCAAGAACATCCAAGTGTTGGCCCTGGCCCTTTTGCTCTCTCATGCCTTCGGCAACAGCAAGAAGGAGACGTTTCAGGAGCCTTCAGGGATTGGCAACAGGCTGCCAGCTGGGATGTGGGTCTTGACCAACAATCCTGACCCCTGGCTTGGGGTGTCACAAAGGACTGAATTTCTGTAAGCAAAACCAAGCTGAGAAGAAGAAGAAGAAGAGTTTGGATTTGATATCCCACTTTATCACTACCCGAAGGAGTCTCAAAGCGGCTAACAATCTCCTTTCCCTTCCTCCCCCACAACAAACACTCTGTGAGGTGAGTGGGGCTGAGAGACTTCAGAGAAGTGTGACTAGCCCAAGGTCACCCAGCAGCTGCATGGAGGAGCGGAGACGCAACCTGGTTCACCAGATTACAAGAGTACCGCTCTTAACCACTGCACCACACTGGCTCTCCATGCAATCCATGCAGATTGGGGAGGGTTGCCAACCATTTCCCCAGTCCCTGGCCCTGCGCCTCTAACATTTCATCTGCATTCTGCAGACATAGAATTATAGAATTGGAAGGGACCATGAGTGTCATCGAGTCCAACCCTTTGCGTTGCAGGAATCTTTTGCCCAACGTGGGGTTTGAACCCATGATCCTGAGATTAAGAGTCTTGTGGTCTACCAGTTGCACTATCCTGGGGGTTTCATGAAAAGCTTCCCATAAGGATGTCTGCAAATCCAACTGCTGTTAAAGGAGCAAGGGCATGCTAACAGAGTTGGACGACCCATTTTCCCCCCTGCTGCTGATGCTTCCCTTAATCACACATTTACTCTCTGGAAAGCAGAGCATTCCAAAGAGAGGCGTATTCTGTCCACAAAGCCTCTTTTACGAGGGGGTTCATGGGTTCATGCAGAAATCCAAGGCCCCTGCCTCTTCTTTTTTCCCAGGAATGTGGGCACAATCGTTCCCTGAGCTCACACACTGTGCTCACCCACAGAAGGCACCCCAAGGTGTTCAACAGAGCCCTTGTTCTTCTCCCCCTTCCTCCTAGGCACACCTGCACGTTGTGCAGAATAGAAGGAGTGAGTGGGATCTGCAACAAAATGTCGCAGTGCACCCTCCTCTTTAGAGTAGCAGCCAGCCAGCCATGCCTTCCTCCAAGGTATTCCATTCCATTGTCCCAATGACCCCACCCAGTTCTGTGATTTCCTTTTGCGTGTTCAGAGCCAGAAACCTCCTCCTCTAAATAAATTCACACTAGGCTCAAATTTTGGTTTTGGTTTTTGGCAGAATTTAGGGCACAACTTTATTGATTACAGAAAGTGACTGGTTGCATAGGCTCTGGTTCGACTAGTTCCCTGCCATGCAGGTAGCGCTGACCCAGGGTTCCAGCATAGGTCAGCCAAGGGTGAACACCTGGATAAGCAGAAAGCTGGGAACAGGCTATCTCCGCCACCCAAATGTCCCCCTGGACTCAGGCATGGGCACAACCCCCTCTCAGGGGTTGACCAAACCATCGAGTCCCTGGATTCCTTTAACGGAATACCTTTCACATAGGGATGGCGAGAGCTACCTGAACCAGAGCCTATCCGCAACCTTACAAGTTGTGACGATTTGCTACGTGGCAGGCGAAACCCAAATGGCAACAGCCAATCAGCCAAATGGGGAAAATTCCTGCCATGCCCCTGTCCCAATGACAGATGGCACACGACGGCACAGCAAGGTCAAGGGCAAAGCCCTAAAAGTAGGGAGAGGTGTGCGGGTGTTCCGATGCATGCACCGAAAGAGGAAGCTCTGGGTCACGTGCATGGGCATAAATAGGTCCCTCAAACCGTTTGGACTGCGTTCCATTGGCCAGATTACACACAGCTACAAGGGACCTACCAATCAGGTGTTGTGGCTGACCAATTGTACCCACCCACAACACAGGGTGTCGGTTTCCAGGTCTCACCACAATACGTGTCCTCTTTAAAGGAGGACCCAATTTCCAGCTGACACTCAGCGTTCCATGGCTACTGAGCATGCTCAGTCATCGTTAGAACGTTGGCTGTCCAATTGGGTGCTTGTCCTTCTGTACTCCATGATGTTTCCTCGACCTTGAGCATGCTGCTAACTCCCTTTGGTTTCCCAGTGGACTTTGCTTCCTCTCCACTCCTGTTGACATCAAGTCGCCATCTGTGCTGGCTATTAAGAGATGTGCTGTGGACACTTCCCATATCGCCAGCCAACCACCCTCCATGTGCATTGTCAGTGACTTGAGATCTATATTCTCATTAGAGCTCCCTGCAGTGGTCCATTGAGCTTTAGGAATCACACCCAGGGTAGTGTGTTTTGCTCTGAACCCTTAAACGACAGGAGAGTTCCTTATTTGTGAGTTCATTATTTGGGCACAGAGTGGAGCTTCTTCTTCTTCTTCTTCTTCTTCTTCTTCTTCTTCTTCTTCTTCGGTGATCACTCTTAGCCAAGTAAGATTGTCTTCCATAAACACGGTTTTAACAATGAGTCCGTAAGTGACTGTGGAGGCCAATTCTGGATCCACATGTCCTTCCACAGTGGGGACATTGGTTTCCGGGCAGGAGTTGATCACGGTGTGGATTTGCCAAGTGTGCCTTCTTCCTAGCACTTCCCCCCCCTTGTGTCCTGAATTCAAGTGTCTTCAAAGCCCATGACACCTTTGGTAAAGGTCAGGCAATTGCATGAGTAGGGATATACTTCAGGGTGTGTGTCAGTGGTAGCTGTGTCTATGATGGGCCAGCGCCATGGGAGGAAAAAAATTTAATCAGGTAGCAGAGTTTCCAAAAAATAGACTAGAGGCAACTGTACTTCATCCAGCAGAGCTTTCCTTTCTACTGAAGGCAAATGAGCATAAATGGTCACAAATGCAATACATTCAGGATTGGCACAGTCCATTAAAAAAATTCAGTTGCAGTACTTACAATAAAACTTACAAAAGTTATAATAAGACTAAACCTTAACACTAAGCATACAGAACCAAAACACCAGAACAAAGAGAGCAAGTGAGACCCAGGCTCCTCCTGGGCTTATTATTGTAGTCAGTTTGACCTTGACAAAAAGAACAACAAAACCAGTTTAAAACAGCTGTACTCAGCTTCCCAGAGAAATAACCCAAACATCAAAAACCTTCTTCCTGTTTCTCTCACATAGAAATAAACCTTCTTTCACACAGAGAAGCTTCTTGAACCTTCTTGTATTAATCAGAATAGTAAAAATCTCTACCCATCAGATCAATACTTTCTGTACTAAGAAATGCAAACTGACAGTCTTAATGTGATGGAATCTGCCTGATATAAATGAGAGGCATGGCAGCTCCTGCTCTCCAGGGCTTCATAGGATCATAGAGTTGGAATGGATCACAAGGGTCATCTAGTCCAACCCCCGGCAAGACAGGAATATTTTTGCCCAACGCGGGACTCAAACCCACGACCCCGAGATTAAAAGTTTCGTGCTCTACTAACTGAGCTATCCCAGATGTCTCGTTACCTATCAGTGAAGAATATAGCATTACCCAAACGCTATCAATTCATTAATCTAAGAAGCCTCATTTTGCGAAGACTGCGGAAGACGTCAGACTGTTGCGTAAGCTGTCTGCTGGCAGCTGTCAAAGAGTTGAGCTTAACCTAGCTGAGAGAGAGTAAGAGATAGAGAGAGAGATTTGCAGCGCTGATTCGGAGTGCAAAAAGTTGCCCCATTACCTGCAACGTACAGAAATTCCTATGGACCTATCGCCCCACCCTGAGCCTGCTTGTTTGGAAAAAAATCTGAGAAATTACTCTGGATCTGCCCTTGAGGCGACAGGTGAGGAGTTCCAAAAGCTGTCTGATGGTGAAAGATGGGCATAATTATAATGATTACTTTAATACATGCTGTACTTAACAGTGTCAGCATGAGCAGAGAAGGCAGGCTGATTTGTAGATAAATGGACAAGGGAGGTCTGGGAGATCACAAGATAGACATGCCTGTGGACCAGCGCTGGAACTTCCCAATACGAGGCTCAGCACTAACAATGTTTGCTATTCATACGTGTTGCAAATGGGGGAAATCCCAGAAAAGTAACTGTGATCACCTGTGATAATTTAACACACAAATAACAGGGTTGTGGGTTCAAGTCCCACATTGGGAGATAGAATCTTGCATTGCAGGGGTTGGATTACGTGACCCAGATGGTCCTTCCAAGTCTATAATTTTGGGATCAGTTGCAAGTGCTCAAATGAAACTTCCTTCAATGAAACATTTTTCTTTCTTATTTTATTGCCTGCAAATGTGACTGCCCTCCTCCATACACACACTGCATCAATGTTGAGGCTGATTTGGGGTTGCGTATCTATCTTCTTCTTCTTCTTTGGCAATCACTTGTAGCCGAGTGAGATTGACTTCCATGAACACGGTCTTAACAGTGAGTCTGTAAGTGACTGTGGAGGCCAATTCTGGATCCACACGTCCTTCCACAGTTTGTGGGTGGGTTTCTGGGTGGGAGTTGATCACGGTGTGGATTTGCCAAGCATGCCTTCCTCTTAGCACGTTTCTCCCTTGTGTTCTGAGTTCGAGTTTCTACAAAGCCCATGACACCTTTGGTAAAGGCTGTGGAGCGCTCGCAGATCAGTGTTTCCCAGTTGTTGGTGTTTATACTACATTTTTTTAGATTTGCCTTGAGACAGTCTTTAGACCTCTTTTGTTGACCACCAACATTACGCTTTCCATTTTTAAGTTTGGAATAGAGTAGTTGCTTTGGAAGACGATCATCAGGCATCCGCACAACATGACCAGTCCAACAAAGTTGATGTTGAAGAATCCTTGCTTCGACACTGGTCATCTTTGCTTCTTCCATATCTATATGCATATCTATATTTCTATATCTTATACTTCTGCCCTTAAAAGGCTTCAGGTTTGTAATGCAGATGTAAGACCTACACTGGACAGAAGGTTCTTTAGCATTACAAATGCCCCTTTTCTTAATGCCCTCTGGTATTTAGGATGCTCAGATGTTGACAAGAACAGCTGAGAGAGATCCAAAGGCAGTTTAGAAACCTCATGTGTGGAAAATGCTTTAAGTTGCCAGTCCAGAGCTACACACACACATAACTGCATGCAAGCATCCACTCTGCCTCAGTGTTACTGGAGCAAACCTAAACTCCTAACAACATGGATGGTATGATTGTGAGGAGAGAAAGAGACACCAGAACAGCTGTAGATATTTTTGCATGACATTTTAATTTCTGATACAGGTAGAACACTTCTTAATAGTGCAACAGAAATATAAATTAATATGGGGGGAGGGGGCAAATCTTACAGAGAAAAATGAAAAGCAGAATTCAACTCACTGCATAAAAAATTCTCTGGGGCCAAATGTGAAAAACGATAAAAGGACAGGACGGTCGAGCAAATCTAGAAGTGTATGATATGGTACTGCAAGAAGCCAAGTTACAGGGAACCAGGCAGAGGGCCTTCTCGGTAGTGGCACCCGCCCTGTGGAATGCCCTCCCATCAGATGTCAAGGAGAAAAACAACTACCAGACTTTAAGAAGACATCTGAAGGCAGACTTGTTTAGGGAAGCTTTTAATGTTTAATAGACTATTGTATTTTAATATTCTGTTGGAAGCCACCCAGAGTGGCTGGGGAAACCCAGCCAGATGGGCGGGGTATGAATAAATTATTATTATTATTACTATTACTGTATATGC